AATTCAAAATTTGCTTCATCACCATCATCTAAATACTCATCTTTGCTTTCATCCCAGTTTTCTATTATTCGGGCTCTGTCATTATAAGTAAGCGCCCTACAAGTAAAAATTTAGGCTTAAATACATGGTATTGCACATGTGCAATAATACATTATAACTCTTGCAAATATAAATCGTGTGAGGACCGATTTTGTTATTGGGGCAAGAAACTCCCCAAATTAATTGGAAATACTTACATTATTATACATTCTCAATAATTCACAAAAATAAAGAAAATTTAGCACTGTATTTTCAATATATCAGAAAGAGGTTTACTCTTTACTACGTATATTCACAAAAACTCAAAAATATTTGCGAAACTGTACCAAAGGAGAATAGTGATAAGGTAAAATTTTCATTTGGCGAAAAAATAACTGTAAATTAAGAAACGATGTAGCTGCCAGATCAACGAGAAGTTAACATTGCATAAATGCAATGCTATGCAACAAAGGGTTAAGCAGACGAAATCCAATTTTTTTTTTAATTACGAGAACAAAAAACAACTGAACATTAATAATAAAAGATAATACGTGCAGTTGCAACTACTTTTCTACTCTACCTATAAGGGGAATAGCCAATTTCAGAAATGATTTCATAAAATAAATGTGTGTGTGAACAAATTTGTGTATTTTAACTACTGGTAAATTCAAAATTTTGTTTTCTTCTGAGTTGACGTTTTCAAGCTTTGTGATTGGGTTGACGTTTTAGAGTAGAAAATATAAAAAAAGGGTTGACGTTTTGGGATGTTTACGTAAACGAGCGTTGACATTTCCCCGTACTTCTATGCTCTGTATGTACTTCTATGATAACATTCCAATTTACTTCGTTTCCAATTTAACTCTTTTTGCTGCTTGTTTTTTTGTTTTCAGAAATAAAATCACACGTTTGTCAGCCAAGAAAATTTACTTTCCATGGAGTATGACGATCGTGCGACCAAAGGCCTATAAGAAAACAACTACAAGGCAGCAACAAATATATCCCACATGAAATACCTACAACGGGTGCTTCGAGAGAATGGTAGATATAATTTTGTTTATTAAACAATTTATTTTTTAATATCTGATACACTTAGTCGAGACCAATGGTGCTTGGCTAGGCCCCTGTGTGTTTACATATATTTGTATTATTAAATACAACGCATTCCTTTTCGTTCATTTTTCGATTTATTTAGGAGCATATGAATAATTTTTGAGCAATTTTTCAATTGATGTTATGATGATGGGGCCTGAGGAATACAAACAAAAACATATGTAATCAATTTTCGAATGCCGTTGTCAAGTTGAATTTGAACATTTAGAACAGAAAATCGAGTTTACGACGCAATTTATCGCTTTCTTGCAAACAAAGTCCTTTGTGTGTGTTAGCACCTTTTGATGTTGAAGCTACTCATCGTGCTGGGATGTTTAGCGCACGACCGAAAAAGGATTCAAAAGCTAAACGACAAGATAGATGTTTCATGACATTGGGATTGTTCATACGATTTTCGATATTGGGCGTTGCCAATGTTATCGATAAATTGTAAAGAAAAGTGCTAGTCAAATGGTAGCCAATCGTTTGGTTTTCAGCTACTATTGTTTTGCCGGTATTTTCGTACCGTTTCAGATGTTTGAGCAATACATTTTCTCCTTGGTTCACTTCACGCTCCCCGTAATCCTTTTTCCCCGTGTACAATATACCTTGCAATGGGTATTTTGTTTGTGAGTCATATGCCCACCAGATTTTCACACCGTATTTGGCTGGTTTTGATGGTATGAATTGCGTAAACTTTGTCTTGCCACTATGCGGAAACAATTGCTCATCAATCGTTACATTTTCATTCGGCTCATAGTTTCTTGCGAGGTTTTCATTTAAATAATTCCATATATCGCGAATTGCGGCAGCCTTATAAGATTGTAGTCGAAATGAACGTGTGCAGCCATCATCGAAACGGATATATCGCGTCAAAAAATTGAATCGTTTGAGTGGCATCGCTGCTCGAACGATGGGAAGAGCATCTATTTGCCACAAAAGTGGTTTAAACTGCATATTATGGTACGTTACACCAAAAGCAATAAGAATGCCATTAAATGCATCAAGTTCGGTGTTAGTGAAATCCACCCAAACTTTAGGTTTTGAGGTTAGATTTTCTGCATTCCATTTTGCAAATTGGTCTCTTCCATACCGATTTGTTTGACTGATGATAATGAATGAAATATTGGTAGTATAAAACTGTTTGAATACCTCAATAGGAACAGAGTTATTGCTTCGGTGCAGGCCTAAAGCGCATCGTGCACACAATACGAGTATGAATTGCTTCATTAGGCTCTTTTTTCCATTCTGTCCCATCTTTACCGCAGTAAGAAGTTTCAGTAACAGCTGGAGTTTCACGCTCTTCTTCTTCTACACCATCGATTACTTCCGTCGCTCTCTAATATTTCATTCGGCTCGATTTCGATTTCATTTCCAATATCCGATGCATCTCTATCATCGTTATTTTCATTTTGAATGTCATTTACCAATGCTGATGTTAAGCGATCATAAAAACCTGCACTGATGTTTCTAGAACGTAATCGTGTATTATACACATATTCCACTTCATCACTCATTATTATAACCAAAGCGAACAGAGTAATAAAAAACATGATGAGAACTGGCGCGAAATATGCGCATTTTCAACTATCTGTCATCAACTGACTTGCATAATACAAAAGAATACAGAAAACGAATTCATTAGAGAGAGAAGAAGAATACTGTAGAAAAAATAAACACACAAAATCCTGGTTTTGTTTGTAAACATACTCTTCTTTTGACTGTTTCCCTCATTTTCTCTTCTTTCGCAAGAACAAGTCGAGCGGAAAGAGTTCGCTATAGACCCGAATGAACATATGTATGCATGTGAGTATGATCGTTATTAGACACGGCAACTTTTGTTGCTAATTCTCGGTGTTGCTCATTGCATTCGCACGAGCAACTTGTGTTGCGCAACTCTGTTCGAGTTTTTTCTCATTCTCTTTCACTTTACATTGTCTAATCTTTACTTTAACCCACTTTCGTTTGTTTTTCCTCATAGGTATTTGGGCCACTCTATCACATATATTAATCAGTTCTGTGAATTAAGAAATACATTTTATTTATAATTCAAAATTAAAACAATGATTATATAACAGACCTTCACATATATCACCTTTTCCACTATCGTCTGAATCAATTTGTATGGCTTCCTCTATACATTTTACAATATTTTTTTAATTAATTCGACTTTTTCGTCATACTCCATTTTCTAGAATATTTATATTATATTATGTATATTTGTATACATATACATACAAATTTACATACAAATTACTTAGCAAAGCAACTATGCACTACGAAAGAAAGAACACGAATGCTGAAAAACGTCACAGCGAACTGCTACGAATAAGAACACAAAGTGAGTTGCTGAACACTGGAAACTCGGCGCGATTCTCCTCTCCTCGTCGCCCTCTCGCCTATAAACCAAGAGTTGCCGAAACAAAAGTTGCTTCGTGTAATAACACTCTATGTTTATATGAGTGCTAGATAAACATACAAACCAATTTGGACATGTAACGAACATGAAAACAGATAAATCAACCGTGCGAAGTGATAGAAACAAACCAAAGTTCATATATTTTCATACAAAATATATGGGGTCTAGCCAAGCACTATTGGTCTCGACTAAGGTGTAATATTATAATATCCTTTTTTCGTCCTTTTCGATACGATATCCTTGATTTTTTTTTCTGAATTCTATAGACAATAAAATTCTAGGAAGCTACCTGGAAGCGCAAGTCGTTTGCTACACTCTAAATATATTTAAATAACATTTACAAACAAAATATGCCTGGCCAGACCCGTTGGTCTCGATGGGATTTGATTTTTATTTTTATATTGTACAGTTTCTTACATAATTTAAAAAGATAAGAGCACACAATTATGCAATTTGTCCTCTAATATATTATCTGTCTCTTATACACATCTAGATGTGTATAAGAGACAGGTTCTATATCCAATTCAAAATTTGCTTCATCACCATCATCTAAATACTCATCTTTGCTTTCATCCCAGTTTTCTATTATTCGGGCTCTGTCATTATAAGTAAGCGC